CTGTGTCCAACTATGTCCAAACTGCATCAGCTCAGAACTGAGGAGAGGAAAGGGGAAACCCACCCAGCCTGCAACTAAACCCGGGCTCTCCAAGCTGGCTGTAGCCATCACGTTGTTCAGGACCCCTCCAGCTCAGCCAGGACCTGAGAACAGGAGTCAGAACTGGTCTCTGGTTACCAGGCTCTGTCAGTGCCTCCTGCTCTAGGCTAGGGCCAGTGGAACCAGTGCAGTTTGAGCACTGGTAACGCTTGTTTCAGTACGCAGTGCCTGTGGTCAAGTACGACCGGAAAGGATACAAGGCAAGAGCCCGGCAGCTGCTGCTGACCCAGAACGCAGCCATCATCATCGAGGAGTCCAAAATCAAACAACGGATCGACTACGGCAACCTGACAGGTGGGGATGGGAGCAGGCCTGGCCAGAGTCAAGTGCTCAGACAGTAACCCTGTCTTTGTCCTGGCCAGGAATGGATGACCCGGTACTGACAAGCAGCATTTGAAGTCTGGGATAGCCTGAAACTGTGTTTTCCTACAATGAAACTCCATCCAGTGTCACCAGAATTGCTCAGTCCATCTCCCCAAACTCCTCCTCCATCATTTCCCATGTCTCTGCCATAGGGAATTGCACCATTAGGGCACAGCAGCTGCTCAGGGCCCTCTTTGCCATGGCCTGGATCCTTCCAGAGGGAGAAGCTGGAGCCCTGGGGTTATTCCTTGGCTGGTCTGAAACCTCTCACTTCCCAGCTCCAGTTCTGGTGCCGGTCATTCAGTGACTACTGAATGCGAGCCCTGATGGGACTGCTGCTGTTTGTCACCATCTGAAGTGGTTTCCAAGGGCAACACTAATTTGGGGTTCTGTGACCCCCATAAGACGCTATTAGAGATGTGTGTTCATCTCTGCTAGGTTGGACCAGGTCAATTTAAACAGCAAATGCTCAGTTTAAACAGCTGATCCAGTGTGGAGCTAAAGTAATCCTTAGTATCCCAATAGTTACCCCGCTCACCCACCTCCCAGGCTAGAATGAAGTACCTGACCAGTTTTGATCATAGGTCCCTGAAGTGGCCAGATTTACCTCTCTTTCCAAGGCCAGGACAGCTTGTAACCAGGAATTCCCCCTGCATCTGATGGGCAGAGGCACCTGGAAGGTTCTTTTCCACCTTAGAGAGCACAGTTTAAGCCTGTTGTCCATCCCCTGCGTTCCTGTGAGAGTCCCCTTGTGCTGGGTACCGAGTGGCTGTTCTCTGTTGCAGGCATCTCGGTGAGCAGCCTGAGCGACAACCTGTTTGTGCTGCACGTGCACTGCGAGGACAACAAGCAGAAGGTACCGGGACTCACCCATCCCTCCTCCAACCGCCTCCAGAACAGGGTTTAAGGCACAAAGAGCAGAAGATGCAGCTGGGTGGGGAGGGCACAGACAGTGCCATGGCTGTAATTAACTCGGGGCCAGCTCCAAGTAATGTTTTCTTGTTACTCGAGCTCAGAATGGGTTCACCATGGACTTGCTCACCAGCAGGACTGGTGCTGTCTCGTGTGCCCGTTGTCACTTAATGGTCACAGCACAGTGTGACCCACAGCAGAGGCCCGTCAAGCCTGGGCCACTTGGAGAAGTGTTTTTCCACGCTAACTATCGCTGTCATTTAGGAACAGTGTCACTGTAAAGCCATGGTCCCAGCTCTTGTCTCTCCTTCCCCGCAGGGAGATGTCGTGCTGCAGAGCGATCACGTCATCGAGACCCTCACCAAGACAGCCATGCAGGCAGGCAAAGTCAACAACGTCAACATCAACCAGGGCAGGTGAGGGAAGCTCCAGAGGGAGCTCTGCTTCAGCCGTGGAGGGCTACAGCAACCCCCCTGCATGCATCAAAACCTATCCAGTACATCTTGGCTATGAACGTGGCAGATGGTGCAGCCAGGCATCAATACAGAGCAGCCACTTGAGCAGAAAAGGGTAAAACTGAGCTAGCAGAGGGGCCTCAACAACTCACATCTCTTCTTGCCTCTTCACAGCATCAAATTTACAGTTGGACAAGGCAAAGAAGGGATCATTGACTTCGTATCAGGATCAGAACTGCTCATAGCCAAAGCCAAGAACGGCCATCTAACAGTGGTGAGTACCTCCGGGCTTGGGACCGAAGGGCACTGATGAGCTTGCAGCAGCTCCAAACCCTGGGTTTGGGATGAAACCAGAGCTGCTGCAGATGGACACGGGACCCATGATGCTCCTGAACACCCAGGAGCTCCCCACTGCTCTGCCTGCAGGCCCCAGAGCCAACCAGGCTCGCTCAGACTCATCCAGTGCCTGTCAGTCACTTGCATTCCCCTCCCCAAGATCCAGCTTTAACTCTGTGCCCTGCACATCAAATTTAGACATTAAGAACACAGGAAGCTAAGGGAAAAAATCCTTTTCCCTTCCCAAGCTTCCTGCTGGTCACATCCAGCCCTACAGCTGATTTATGCCTTGTCCCATTAAAGGTCATTCAGGAATCAATGCAGATGTGTGCAGTGATAGCCATTTCCCCGTCCCTCCCTCCTCCACTGAATGGCCAAATCCTGCTTCCGCTCCCTGTGAGGCGGTCACAGCGTTAACACGTGCTGTGCCCTACCAAACAGCTCAGCTCCAAAGCAGGCTGCAGGCTGGCTCCTGAAGATCCTCACACGACACCTCCGCGCCCTTACCTTCTCCTCCTCCTCCTCCTGCAGGTTGCTCCTCGGCTGAACTCCCGATGATAACGTGCCACCAGGCCAGGACCTCCTCCTCCTCCTCCTCCCCACGGACCTGGCTGGATCGCTCCCAGCAAACCCCCTTCTTCCTCGCTTTGCTCCTTTAATTGTTACCAAAGACCTGCACTTCCAGAAACCCACAACTCCGTCTTTCTTGTCTTAATACCCAGTCCCAAAAGAGAGGCCTTCTCCTCCTCACCTTAGTGGCAAAGGCGTGGGTCCAAGGCACCGTCTGGAACCGTGGGCTCTGAGGGAAGAGGTAGCGACCAAAAGCCTTGTGCTTGACCCCATCCAAAAGCACAACGGGACCCCAGAACTCTGCTGCTTTGCCAGCCCCATCCATGAGATGCCAAACTTTGTATCCAGACAGAATGTGTCATGAAGAATTCGACTCCGAGACGTTTGTATTAAAGCCATATCATGTAAATGAGTAAGAAAAGCCCTGTAAATACTTTAGAGTGGAGTATGAGAGATGCACTATGAGAAAGGGAGGCGATGTGGAACCTTTTATGGTTTAGATTGGGAGGTTTTCCTGGTTTTAGCTCGTCATTACAAGGTATTAACCCACGAAACCATCATTTAACTTCCTCTCTCCTCTGGATCCAGCAGCTCTCACCTTTTGAAGTGACCCATCCCATTCCTTGCTCTATAGTGGTATTTTTATACTGTTCCCATACCCACATCCCCTTGGGTTTAGCAATAACTGGAAGTTGAAGTCCCCCCAGAAAAGCTCCTCCTTTACCTGCCCCTGCTCAGCGCTGCCGTCAGGAGGAGGGCTCCTTCCCCACTTCCAGCCCAACCTGGTTTGAGCACGCTCTCAGCCCGCACCACAGGCCAACACCAAGCCCCAAGGCTGCAGGGTGGGCAGCTGAGCGCCCACGTCTTGCATCCCAGCCCCGGATCCATCTCCAAGCTCGACCTGCCTTAGGAATCCTCCACATTCCGCCTGTATCCCGGTGCAGCAACACCACCTACCATAAGCCCCGAGTAAAATACAACCCCACGTTGACCACGTGCATACAATTGGCTCAGTCTCCTACGGTGCAGACCCCAGGGCCTGGGCTGCTGTATACACTGTAGTACATACACCCCCCCCATATGCCATCGGCTGCTGTATCCGCTGTTCTGTAACCTCGTCGAGACTACACTGAATAAATTTGTACAGAAAAGAAGCCTCCTCCATCTTGTCTGGGTTGTGGGCACGTTCCTCCAGGAGCAGCCCATTCCTACAAGGAGTTTCCTAGGATACAAGCTAAGCACGCCGCCCTTGTGCATCCGCGTCACTGGATGAGGAACGCTCTATGAGAAGAACGCACTGAGCAGACCATGGGGGATTTTGTGCTTCCAGGTAGGAAATGGTGTGGAGAAGATGCAGTTACACTACTTACACGTAAGGTTGTTCTTCAGGCAGAGGTAAGCTGCCAGTGCCGTCACTTCGTTCTCCCCCTCCAACCGCTCCTGTTACACGCGCCAAAGCCAAGTCAGTAAAACTAGGAAAGAAAATCCTCGGCGTGGGTTGGCATTTTTAATTTAGGTTTGTTTTATTTAAGTTTAATGTTAATTCCATGCTGTGTTTCAGTAAGAACAATACAGATTCTGTATCTGTGGCTCCAGTCAGATATCCAGTAGTACAAATTAGCTTCAAGTTACACATACTGAACAAAAGAGGTTGAGAGCGAGCGAAGGGAGATGGGGGACAGGGGAGGGGAGAAAGAAAAAATATTGAACACGCATGCAGGCTTTTCAATGCCACCTTCAATGCTAACCTGCTTGGAGGAAAAGTAAAGAACAGGCAAGAATGAGCAGCCACGGATTGTTGAACTGTTACCAGCACCATGATTCGCAGCAAGGTTCCGAACCCCATTACGATCCGTGTCCCAAAAGCAACCTGGACCTTCGAGCTGAGCAACGCCGTTGGTATAAAATTCACTTGGAAACAGTTAGAAAAGGAAAGGGGAACTGCCAGCACTCCTGGGCTGTGACACATCCCTGCCCTGCGAGGGGGAACGGCCACTCTACCCTGCCCCATCTGGCGGGAGACAATACAGTAATGCTGAGCGAGCCTTGACCTGTTAGTGTCTTAAGGAAACCTCTAAGCTGGCACCAGTAAAATCCACAGAAATTCACTCTTGCCTTTAAGAACTTTGAAATTGTGTAAAAAAAAAAAAAACAAAAAAAAAACAACCCCAAAAAACCAACCAAACCCCAAAACAAAACAAAAATAAACCCCAAAACAAAATAAACCAAAATAAAAATAAAGAAACCCAACAGGGCAGGAACCTAAAATTCTGAGCCCCAATGTAAAAGTCAGATTTGGTGGTTCTCAGAGTGACACTGAGGGTTGTTGTGGGGAAGGGGAAGGGATGGTCAGAGATGGGTTCTCTTGTTGGCCTTTGTGTCTCACTGGTTTTCATCTTCCACATCCTGCAGCGCTTCTTTATTCTGTTCTTCACCTGCGGAGCGGGGTCAGAGGGAGAGGGGCACTTTTAAACACACCGAGGGGGCTCTCTACAGGCACCCAGGTTAACAGCTCCGTGCAGAACACACGCTCGCATCGATGGCACACACACACACACGTCACACGGCCAGGGCCGGAGTGAAGCGTTCCCATGGGAATTCAGCCTCATCCCCACCTCGGTGCGTTTCACACACAGCTGCAGCACAGGCTATTAGAAGACTTTTGTTTTAAGGACAAACAGCAGCAACCCACGGGTCCTGAAAACAGCCTGTGCATGGGATCATCAACAGCCAAGAGAACAGTTGTGGCTCAGCATCCTTCAGTCACAAAATACCTTCCCCAAACCCTTTGTTTCTGTGCCAGAAAGCCCCGAGGACCTCTATTCGCTACCTACAGGGATAACGGGTTTAAAACAAGCTTTCTCTACCCAAACCCCCTCAAGTCTCACCCACAGCAACGTCCTGCAGTCGATTTTATAAAGAACGCTGATGAGGCATTATTAAAGGTACCAAAAGAAGTCTAAAACCACATCCCTGCTTCAAGTGCAGCTTCACGTCCCAGACGTGTGTTATTAAATGTTCCATGTTCTCTTAAAAACAGAAGGCTTGGACCTACTGACCCAGGCTGCAACACGCAGGGGAATGAAATCTCCCCCTAAAACCTCTTGTAGTTAAGTGTGGGTTACACTCAGGTGTGCTTTCTTTACAGTTACCCATAACCATGCGAGATGGTTTGAGGGCCAGAAAAGCTATCCATTAAAGAGGTTGATACGCATTAAAATCCAACAAGCCTAATGACTTCCAGCATGTCCAGATTCAGCACAGGACCAGGTACAATACAGGGTGGGCTTCCAGGAACACAAGACATCTGACATTCAACAACAGTAAAGTCTACATTTAGGATTATGAAGCACATCACTTGAGAGGGAAGCAGAGGCCCTAACCCAGGAAGATGGATTAATGGATCTGAGCATGCTCTAGTTGACACACGTAAGCAAATACTCCTGTAACAGGCGATTGTGAAAGTACTTTTCATGCCCAAATATTCTTAATATCCATCCAGGAATGCAGCTCAGTTCCCAAACCAACGTTACTTTGGGCCTTAGTCAAGCACACTGGACCTGGGCAGGGGCAGCAGGTCACAGCTCAGCCCTAGAATGGAGTCAGACACAAGCAGTTCATGAGCAGCAGGAGCGACAAGAGGCAAGCACCGTTAGTGACTGCAGGGAACTGACACTGGAAAGTTCATTCAGCCATGACAGAGACTTACAAAGTAGAGGTTTTAGGAAATGAACACTTGGACTTCCCTTTAGGAATCTATACAGCGGGAAAGAAGGGGAGAACAGGAATCATGAAGGTGACATTACAAGCAATGAAAATAAACTCAACAGCTGGCCTATGACATGGTTAAAAGATACAGGAGATGAGATGAAATGTGCAGCAGCTGAGGAACACCTCGGTTCAGAGTCCTGCCCTAAACCTACACAACTGAAATCGAGTGTTCAAGGCCAGGCTGGACAAAGCCTTGGGTGACACGGTTTAGTGTGAGGTGTCCCTGCCCATGGCAGGGGGTTGGAACTGGATGACATTAAGGTCCTTGCCAAACCTCCCTGTTCTATGATTCTATGAAACAGGCAAGGCTGAATGTGAAAGAGAAACCCTTGAGTGTCATCCCCCCCGTACCAGTTTCCTTCCTCAGTGCCACCGTGAACCTTTACAAGCTTCCAAAGTCTCTGCCTCACTTGGCAATACGGAGTTCTGGAAGCACCAGTTTTAAATGCCCTCAGTGCATCAGCATGGTGCGAGTGGTGAGAAAACTTGACACCTGTGTGCACATTGTTCATGAGCGCCGTGTTCTATGTGAACCCAAAGAACCACACTACAATGCTAAGGCGTTCTGCGGTGGTGTAAGTTTTGTCATCGTTCTCCATGAGCAGTAACCAGGTGATCTGAAACGCTTCAGGAAGGGCAGAATTATCCATCTGCTTTGCTATGGAGGTCGTTATGAGAAATGTCAATCCAGACTATGCAAAAAGAAACACCCAGAGCCTCTGTAAATAACCCTGGTGAACATCTACACTGTCAGAGATACATGGTGGCAGCTCACAGGACGATGTTCTGATGCTGCTCTCTCACAGCAGCAGTCCACAGCCTTGTGACTGCACTGAAATGGCACCAGCACACATCCAATACTTGGGATCTATGCAAAGAGCTGGAAGCTCTCGGGTAACTAACCCATCAATCCTACACAAGACAGGTACTCGGTAAAGAGACTCCACAACTGCTTTCAAATGGACACTATACCACTGAAGTACTCCAAAGTAACTCTATGAGGCTATCACCATGCTCCAAGTAACATCTTAAGTATTTAAGACATGTATTTTCTGGGTTAAGCAGTGATGTTTCAAACCTCTGCATCTCTAAGCACCTACTGTACATTAAACAGGACTGACACTTCTTCCCCCTTTCCAAGTTAAAGAAATTCAGCTCTTGCCACTTCTCTCTCCAGGCTGTATTTTAAACACGAGTTTCATTTCTCTATACAGAGATGATGTTTCATTCCCTACCAATCATCAGTGAAACCGAAGGCCTAATGCAGAGAACTAAACGAGTAAAGTTGGCATGTATGTGAAAGTATAAGAGGAGGAAGTCCATTGGGATGCCAAAAGGACACTTAACAATTTAACTATCAGATACCAGTAAGCAGAAGCAGTGTCCCACCCTCTGGATTCAGTACTTGCTGTAGCAATGGCCCACTTTAGGAGGTATAACCTAGTGGGTTTGGGCAGTGTTAAAGAAAGTCCTTCAAACACCTCAAATAGGAAATGAGATTTCTCTAAGCTGCTTCTACATCACCTCCTCTGGTAACAAAGCATTTTACAAACTCCCTCTCCCCTCTTCCCTTCATACTCAATAATTCTTCATAAGAAGAAGAAAAGCTATGGGAATTACTGATCTCTGCACCTTTACAGCATCATGGCACTAAATCCTCCACTAAAATGCCAACAGAAACACTGAGTGACCTGAAAAACAAAGGGCAGCAAGATGGGCTGCAGTACTTGCTCCTGCTCTGGCAATTCCCATCTCTCAGAATGACAACCACAGGTGACCATGACAAGCCTAAGAAGGAAAAGCTGAATTCAGTGAGGTCACTGCTTTTAGAATAATCACAAACAGCCAGACGGGAGGAAAAGAAAGCTGACATTACTGACAACTCCCTCCTTCAAGTGAGAGGAGCTAATGTCACCCCTATCAACTTAATCCTGTGCTAAGGGAGGACATAAATCCAGGAGGGTCAACTATTAGGAAAGACAGAGGTAAAACAACAACCAATCCACATTTCCATGCTTTCACTTCTGGATAGAGGTCAGGAGAGAGCAGCATTTCAGAGGAGAGTTTACTTACCATCACCCTGCATGTCTGAAGTCCATAGTGTCAGATTATCACGTAACAACTGCATGATAAGTGTAGAGTCCTTATAGCTTTCTTCACTCAGTGTATCCAGTTCTGCAATAGCATCATCGAAAGCTGCTTTTGCCAACCTGTAAGCACAGAGTCAATCGGATTGAACGCAGTGCTCAACAGAAACCAGGAGTGCACAAGTTAAACCCGTGCCTCACAACATCCGTGTCTGGTATTCACATCCCCATCTTCCAAATCACCACTTACCTGCAGGCACGATCAGGAGAATTAAGAATTTCATAGTAGAATACAGAGAAGTTGAGCGCAAGTCCTAAGCGGATGGGATGTGTTGGTGGGAGTTCTGTCATTGCAATGTCACTAGCAGCTTTGTAAGCCACCAAGCTATTCTCTGCAGCCTCCTTCCTGTCATTTCCTGTGGCAAACTCAGCCAGATACCTATGGTAGTCCCCCTTCCTGGAAACAGAAGCATTAGGGAGTCAGCAGTGCTTATTTCCCCACTAAATTAACAGTCAAGTTCAGAAACTCCTCTTTATATATTCACACAAAGGACACTGCTGCTGAATTACTGCAATGGTGCGTTAGTACTGGAGTGAATTTGAAACCATCATGCAGGAAAACCAGTTTGGATTCACTTATTTTCTTGTATTGGTACACAAGATCATAGTGTTACCCTTTCCATCATTAATCTGTGTCTCTACAAATGCATCTCATCTAAACTAGCCAAATTTAGGATAGGTACCTATCCTAGAAAGAGGTAATTCAGCTACAGAGGAAAACACTCTGATCATGTCAAGATTTAAACTGTGCTTCAGAAAGCAGAAAAGATGCATCAAACCAGTGACTACAGCACCATACTCCAAGGCCAAGTCCCACCTGATAATACAACTCTGAAGCTGATACTACATGGCACTGATCAATCTTGCTTTATTTCTGTCTCTAGTTCAGACAGACCAATGATGTGGCCTCACATGATACTTACATTTTGTAATAGAAAACCTTGGACTCGCCAGTGTTAGCTGCTGGAATGAGGTGTTTGTCCAGTACATCCAGAATGTCACAACAGATTAACTTCAGCTCAGTCTCCACCTAGAAAGGAAAACACACCCAAAATGAAAAGAAGCGGCGAGGTTAGCACGTAAGACTAAGAGCTACTTCAACAGCATCCAAATATCAAAGCAGGCAGCAGCACACAAATCCAAAAGAGGGAAGACAGAAGAACAGTGACATTAGAAGTCACCTGCTCCACAAGTGCAATAAGCAAAAGAGTTCTGTGTGATCAGCTGGCACAAGAGAGGCAAGGACTGATGTGGGATGAAATGTATAACTGAATAATGGAAAGACATCTCACTAGACAGCGGCATGAAGTTTGTCTCAGGATATGTAATTCCTTCCTGCAAGGCTTGCACAACTCCTAATTCCTTACGGTTTTGCTCCTGGAAGGCTGCCCTCAAAGCAGCACTGGTGAAGGGGATAATTTGAAGGTCATTAATACAAATCAGCTAAGCTCCACTGCACCCTAGAGTTTAAGTGACACCTTCAGAACAAGCTTCCAGTGACTACGTGGGAGGCAAAGCTCTAACAGAAGAGCCTTAAGACAAATATCAGGGAGTATCAGAAGAGAATAAAGATGTGTCACACATAAAGGTCAGATACGAGAGGAAAACAGACTCCAGGAGCAGGCAAAAAAGGCAGAGTGCACCAACTCAGAGGTAAAGCAGGAATCATCAACACTGAGATCTGTGGCCAAAGAAAACCCATCTATAAAGAGTTATTTAAAAACAGATGTTGAATGTTAACAGCCAAAGTTGAAAATATGGTCACAGCACCTTCATTTTCCCCTTTAATTTAGAATATAAAGCAAGGTCTATGAGGTTAGGGTTTACCACAGAAAGTTCCACACATGAAAGCAACGAAACCAAGTATACCCAAACACCCTGTCTTTTGCCATCAACATTGCCAAAAGAAGACTTGCTCTGAGCATCCCATGTCCTTCACAGTAGCAGTGGTTGGTTCACTGGCTCAAGCTACTTTTATGCATGATGAGGCAGAGGGTTTCAAGCAAAGGCATCAATTTAGTTAGAAGAAACTACCCGAAACTGCATGCCCTGGATCACAAGAGCTGCCTTACTTAGTCCATTATCCCTCTGCATCCTCCCACCCCTGCAGTTCTTTAAGCATTTTTCTTGCCATGTAGTATTTTTATCACCATAGAGCTCTATTAGGGTTTGTTACCGCCACATCTACCCTCAAAAGCTGTTAAAACTACAAATCCAAAATAGATGTTAAGCTGGCACATACATACACAGACTGATTTGTACAAAACTGCTTAGATGTGCAGGAGTTCCTTTAGAGAAATCAATCTACAGCAGATGTCATGTACAATGTCAGAATGCCCTAATGTTCAGAGGAGGAGTTAGATGCTATAAAGTTATGTGACAAATGCTTAAGGAAGTTGCTGAAATATGGTCAACTTGAGAAGAATCTACTTCATATGTTCTTGGGCTACAAAAGCTAGAAAACCTTTGGCCAGCAGTGAGTTCCTGCAAACTTCTTTCCTCTTGATCCTCTTTTTCAATGACTTCTTTTGCAGAGAGATCTTCAGCAAAACTGCAAAGAATTAAATCAGTTTCTAATCCTCTTTTGTTAAATAACCATACACGTACAAACGTCTATTTCAGCCCAGACAGACCTTTTACAGCTTTGCTTAAAGGATCATTCACACAAGTTATCAGAGATCAGCTGCTGTCCAGGGCAAATGTCCTGACCAAGCTTAGTTTGAATATGTTTTATATAAATGAAGAACAAAACAAGAAACCCCCACCAAAACCCTAAAAGCTCTTTTACAAGGATCTGTTGTAGACAGAGTGGCTCAATGAGCTCTTCAAAGCAGCAAAGCAGCACAAGAGCCCACACTAAGCTTGTTCAGAGCATTCAGAAACTATAGGTTTAGGGTCTATCACCATTCCAGCTCCAAATGACATAGGGTACTAGAGGCTCTGGCCAGCAAGGAAAGACTGCTGACCCCATAGGCACCCTGCTTCTATATTTCAGTGATAGTGCTGGCTTAATCAGATTCCAGACTGTGTTCTTAGCTCTGCAGATACAAAAGCTTGTAAACCACCTGGTGATCTAAAAAAGGAAACTTATTAGAAGCAACCAGGGGAAGGGTAACCTGCGCTAGTTCTTTGACCTGTTTTAGTACGTAGCCCCCAAAATAGCTGCACCTCACAACTGAGATGCACCACGAAACTAGAACGTAGGAAGCAGTTGCTAAAACCTGCAACCTCCCTCCCAGCCCTGCCAAAACAAACAAGCTAACCACCCACATTTATGCCAATTCATACCCTCAACTTTCTAAGTGGGAGGGAAGGAGAAGAGCCTTGCAGCTGCCCCAGAATACAACCCAGAGCACTACGAACGCACATACTCATACAGGCCAGTTAAGAGGAAGGTTACTTCTCCTATGGTATTACGGAAGGGATTTGGTTTTACTGGATGAAATGAATTTTGTTACATGCAGACATACACCAAGCTCTTGAGGATGAAGGACGCAGGCCTCTCTGCTCATCTACAAAGATGCAGTCAGATGAGAAAGCCTGGGGCTCTACTTTTGTGTATCCAAATGGCCACAGGACCCAGAAAAGCAGCTTGCCTTCAAAAGAAGCAAGAAGTGGAATTTCCCCCCATGGCTATCTATGGGTTTTGCTACATTTATCTTTAGTGGTTTGGGTAAAGGCACAGCCTGGCATCTCCAATTACCTCTCAGTATTGCCTAGTGTATGCCTCAGACAAAACCAGCCCAGCCCTATTCTGACAACACCATCATCCCTCAGAGTTCTGCCCCAGGTCACATTGGACAGTAGCTCAAACGAACTCCAACCATTTAAGAGCCATGTGCTAAGCTGCAATAAATACTGATGTACACCGACACCATTAAATAATTGCTTTCACACAAACTACACTTCCATTTCAACTTGAGCAGCACTTCATAGCTGAGCACGCTCATACACCCAAGTTCAGGTGGTAGGAGAGGTGTTTCCTGAAGATGTTACTTCCCTCCAACTCTCCAGGGCTTTCAGCTCAGCCTGTCAGCCCCCACACAACTCAACTTACTCTGAGAAATGCTACAAGAGCAGGTATTTGTGGACAAGGTAAGAACAATAACCTGAACTTTGCTGAGCCTGCACCAGACCTCATCTCTGCAGAGAAGCACAAAGCACGACAACAGGACAGCTGTGTTACCGTTCCAGCAATGACAGTAAGAAGCATCATCCAAACCTTTGCAGTATGCTCAATGCACCCTTACTACTCCCATGCCATCTTGGTAAGCCCATTAACACTCTCTTTACAGCAGCTGCTAACTCATATTAAGTCTCCCAGCAGCTACAAACAGGATCTAATCTTCAGCTGCAGTTGATAGCCTCCTGGAAAACCCAAGCTAGAGCTGACACTGTTCATCTGTCTCTGGTATGGAAAGGCATTAAAGTTCTCCAAAGCACTCTTCCACCTACAGCAACTGTCATAGCTATTCCCTTTAAGGATTTAACAGCTGAAGATACTGTTGGCACAACCCTGCATTTCATTTGGCCTTCTCTCTCAATAGGTACTCAAGGACTACATACATTTCCTGCACATCGGTCTGTTCGGCATGGCACTTGGTCTCTTCACAAAGAGAGAGATACAGAGCAAAGCCTTTTTTACAGTCCTTTCAAAAACAAGGAAAAAAGTCTTTTCACTATTAAAGGCTCTCTGGCAGAAGACAGTAACTGCCTACAAAACCCTGTGCAAAAACAACCCTGGAAGCACAGAGTGTTAAGACAAATTTAAACAATCATCTGATAGCTATTGTCTTATATGTTCTGGTAGGAAGATTTCAGACACCCATCAAGAAATGGTATTTGGGACTCTATGTAACTGGCAGAGCCTCATCCCATCAACATGCCAGCATAAAATTAGAAACTCACAACTTGAACAATTCCATGGAGCAACAGAAACCCTGTGAGTCAACAGAAAGCAGGCCAGAGCCATTCCCGAGGAAAGATTTGCAAGCCAACATCATTTCCATTGGTGGTATATGAATCAGTGCCAGGTGATATAATAGACTCCACTGTTTCCCTGAGTGAAGAGCTGAACCATGTGGAGGCACTTGTCATGAAATAATGGAGATTAAGAGATGTGCAGAAACGTGGGGGATTTAAACACAGGAGCATGCCTGTGCTGTGCTAAACCATCATCTAAGGAAGGTGGGGCAGGGGGGAACAAAGCTGACTGCTCTTATAGCTGAAGGTTTCATTAGCCCTTCCTGACAAAAGTCAAAGCCTGCTCCAAGCTCTCCATTTTAGGTAAAGCTGCACAGACTGACTAGAGTCAGCATGAAGTTATGTGGATCCATTTTTCTCTACAGAGAGACAGAAAGAAAACAGCAACACCCTAGAGGTTATTGCACATGCAAGCTTCACAGTTAAGATGACCATAGGAATCCATAAGGAATATGGGAATGCTTTATCTCAAATGGGTTGCTTTAACTGCTGTCAGTGTAGCTGATCAGTTTAGGACAAGAAGAAACTTAAAATTCTACATATCAAGAATGAGATGCTGTCAGAGAAGCCACACTACCCCAATACTCATTTCAACATAGGCACTGCTGTCTGAGCTCTGCCAATTCAATTATCAAGCCTAACCAGGCAACTACTCTTCTGTGAAGCACTTAGTTTCAAGGGAAGAAGGAAGAAAACAAAGCTAATGTACATGAAATGCACCCATCACAGTGATAAGGAGTCAAAGAAAGCGGCCATTTGGTTTCACATGGCCCAGCTTTGTGCCAAGAACACCACTGAAGATCCTTCCTCACTGGCATTTCAACTAACAGTGTTAATGCCTTGAACTAGGTAAGGCAGAGTACTGCAAAAGCCCCAGGTGTCAAAGTCTGAATGATCCAAAGCGGCTTTCATCAGAGGCAGAAGCTTAACAGCCAAACATACCTTTGACATGGTTAATTTTCCAAACAACATTGGTTGGGGTAAATCAGGTTGGAGGGGAAAGAAAAAGGCCTCCTGAGCACATGCAGCCTCACACTTAAGCAAGGAAGAGAAAGTGCCAGCCTAGTTCAAATGCTTAGCAAATAATAGCTGCACTGAAGGAAAACCCCTCCCTTTCTCCTTCCAGTCTACTGCCCTTGTGAGTGTTTACACAGGAACACCCAACCTCCCCCCCTTCACCAAGTGTTATTTATCCTCCAGAAAAGGAACAAGCTTCATCCTCTCAAGACAGTCACCTTATAACAGGTCACCACACTGCTACCTATCTAGAGCATCAGGAGAGTTATGGCAAGGACAACAACACTGGACCTTAACTAAGTGGCATTATTCTGCAACACCAACTACATCTTACCATTTGCCGATATTCCCGGATCATTTTTAATTTGTCTTCTCCACCTTTGTTTTCTTCTTTCTGTTCAATGCTGCTGATTATTCTCCAGGAAGCTCTTCTGGCGCCAATCACGTTTTTATATGCGACAGAAAGCAGGTTTCTTTCTTCCACTGTCAACTCCACATCCATTCCAGCCACTTTCTTCATTGACTCAACCATTTCTAGGAGGAAAAGGCCAGACAATTATTCTCGGAGCTGAAGCATCTGTCAAACCACTTGATGCAAGCTGTACGTTAATGATAGCTTATGAAAACAGCTTCCCTCCTCCTTTCATACACAGTTCGCCTCACTTTTATGCTGGAGTGTTCCAAACAAATCAATGAGCATGTGAACAAAGGAAGTATCTGATGTTCTTTTAAATGTATTTGACAAGGGTCCCCCCCAAAAGCCTTTATAGATAGTTTAGGTTTTGGTTTGGGTGGGTTTTCTGGGGGTTGTTAAGAGACAGACTAAAGGATTTAGCAGCAAGCATGCTTTCCACAGCAGATCAGAGTTACCAGTCCAATCCTACAGGAATGCCAGCTCTTCTGAGTGCTTCAGAAAAGGCAACAAATAGTGAGAAGAACATGAACAAATGTAACCTGGCTTTCAGCACAGTGAGAATAAACTGAAGAAGTACAGAAGGCTCCACTGATGTGTCAACTGGAATAGAGTCTAACATCCAGATTTGAATAGATGAAGTGTGAGTACTGCCATTAGGAAAGCAACTCAAGGTGCCAAAGGGAACCACCAAATGAGAAATGAGGCACTTAGAGAAGCAACAAAACAGTCATCCTGAGGATACTCAGAGGAACCATATCTACTCATGCCAAGCAGCTACTTACACTGAAAATTAACACACAAAATATCAAGTATTTGATATTTATAGTTTAAACCTTTTGGAAAGGACTTCTAAACCTCAGGTTAAAACAATTATGACTAAATACAGCTTTCCTCTACTCAAGTGGAAGCAAATGCTTGAACCACTTAAGGAAGGTTATAATCCTTTCATTACCTAACCACAGTATGATTGCTTGCGACATAGAAAAGACAAAAGTGTTAAACAGACCCTAATTGAGAGGCTAGGATGAGACACTCAGGAGGCACAGGTTTTGTCCTGCCACACAGTGCTTCAGCTCATTCACCATTTACCTTCCAGCTTCTCAAACTGCTGGGAACCCCACAGATGAAAAGAAGGGCATTAATGAATGAGATTAAGACCCAAGTACACCACCTACTCAACAGGATAACAGTTTCTGAGCTATCTGCCAGGTAGAGGGACACTAGAATGACTACTTAAGTCTGCTAAAAGCATGGTGATGCACAGGGTGACATAGCCTACTTGCCTCACAGTTCTGTGGCCTATTTATCCTGCCTACTCATCATTCCACCCCCACCATTTGATGTCATTATGTTCTGCTGTGTCATGGCAGCACGAGCAGTGGGAAACTCATGAAACTTAACTGTCATTTTTGTCCTTGGGTGCCAAAATTCACCATCTTCACAGGCATAAGCCACGTCAGCAACAGAAACCGTAGGCTCAGTCTTTTTCTCCTGGCAGGAACAACGTTATCAGTCTCCAACAGGTCTCCACACTCTGTAGTGACTCCATTACCCGGGGGGGGAATCCCTACCTCCAACAGTAGACTTTGCTTCTCCAAATCACAGACAGTAACAAAAAAAAAACTACCAAGGATTTAATAAAACCTTTACAAGCTGTGATTTACCCACTGAGCAGAGCATGTATTACAAATTAGAATCCCACCTATAAACAAGTATCTTGCCCAAAGAGAAAGATTTATCAGCCTACCTACAAAGCTGTTGGAGAAGAATGTTTCTAGTTTAGCAAAGAGCCAATTTTGACTCAGAATACAAGTATCTGGGCTGGTATTTCAACAAGACAAAGTAATGTTATGCACATACCTTGGTCTTCCACAGTAAAGCCATAATCCAGCCCTGAAAGTTTAAGCCTTTAATCACTCAGCAATACAGTTATGCTGTCCTTTTGCTTTTGTATCTTCTCCAATAGAGAACTAATTCTAACAAAGCCATCTATGCCTGCTAACAGAGCAAGTATTTAAGTTGTAAGTACAGCTTTACCTTTCACCCTGATGTGAAAACCTCAGAGACCATTCAAGACAAAAATGCAAGTCCGAGATTACATTTTAGTAATAAGGATTACTGCAGCAATGACAACTCACTGCACACACAATCCAGAGATGCTTATGCTGTGTTATGGAAAAACTAGTGTTATGCAGGTTCAGAAAGACAAATACTGTAGTTTCAGTGGTTACCTTCCAGGTTTTTTTTCAGATGACTGTGGCTGTCACTTTATTATGCTACTGTCAGAACATACCATCAGCGCAGGAAATCCCCAAAGTATAAGATATGGAAGGGTAAGGGAATATTCTGGAGAATGACACACCCGAGATTTATACTCTTCCCCAGGCATTTGCTGCTGGCTGTTACAAGAAGCATCACAAAAACCAGACATCTGGTCTGATCAGGTTTGTATATGCTAACAAAAAAGGGCATTTAACTAAGACTCAAAGCAATTGCTTAAGATACTACAAAACTACAATAACACCTGTGCTGTTGTTTTTTGTTGTTCCTAAAGTCTACTATTATGATTAATATGCACCTCATTGCAAAGATAGCTGACTCGCCTCCAGCCACTGTGGAGCAACAGTGAAGACATGCATACATAGCTTGGAAAGCACAAAGGATCTGGACAGCGGTCACCACTACAGTGAGTGCTACCTAAGAAAGATACTTAAAACAGCCTGGTACGTTGCTTGGGATTGGGTTTTTTTTGTTTGTTTTAATGTGAAAGACAAAAGATTATTCCTTACTTTAAGCTAAAAAGCAATGGGGAATTCTACAAGTATTGAGAAGTGTGTGTCTGATAACCATCTGCTAGGGACCAACACACAGAATCTGCACAAAGGGCACAGTAGATAAGGAAACTTCTAGGTAAATCTTTGCAGTATAGGATACAAAACTTAAGCAGGAGTAGACTATACCAAAGGGGTAGCCAGTGTCTACTAAAAGCTGAGTGTGATGCAAGGATATGAACAGAGCAGAAAGGAATCTTCCCACATGTGTTCACCACAAAAGATCATGCACCATAACCACCATTCAGAGAAGACTCAGTACTAGTCTTGTACTTGTTCATTCTTGGAATGAATGAAAGAAGAGCAGTATTAAGTCGTAAGAGTTCAAATTAAAGTATTTCATTCTAAACTGTTGGATATAATGTCTTGTTTAAGACTCTAATAGCAACAGCAAACACAAAGCAGATGTAAGACTATGCTAATACTCAAGAAGGGTTCCAGGAGACAGTCAAGAGGATCTACAGAACCATTAACTTAATGCTCCCAAGAGGTTAAGCTAATAGGAATTACTGAATAAGTGGGTATATGCATAAACACTATAAGGTAGAGCATGAACTTCTGGAAAAGCAAGTAACACCTCACAAATCTTCTGTGATGCTTTGAATGGGTCAAGCCTATGGACAAGGAAGGATCGATTGACATGGTCTACCTGGATTCCCAAATGCATTTGACAAGGTCCCTCACCCAAGTTTCTCTGAGGAACTCAACTGCCATGAAATAGGAAGGGAAGTCCTCACATGGATAAACACTTGGCTGAAAGACAGGAAACAGGGTATCAATAGAAAACTCAAGTGTTCAGAACTAGAAAGATCACGAGTGGAATCACACAGTGATCGTGCTGGGAACATGCTAACATCTGTGATCCAGAAAAATGGGAGGAAATATTAAGTACTAACTTAGCAGAAGCAGCAAAGTGCTAAGAACAAATGCAAGAAGAGCTGAAGAAACAGGGGCAAATGTTATTTTCTTCATTAAGTGAAGAGTATCTGTGACGATTAACGCACATAGACTGAGTTTTTCTACAACTGCAGGCTTCCACCCAGCATCAGTGGGCACCATCCTATTCACTGCAACTATCAGCTCCAAATTTAAGCCAAGAAAAGGTAGAGCTCATCATTTCATCCATCAGGAACTCTTCTTCTGAACACACTGTTACATTACCCACACTGGGTTTTTCTGTTCTCTTAAGAAATCCTGCATTTGGCAAGCGAGATTTAAGAGACAGCTAAACCTGCCAGCAGCTTGAGGGGGAGGCTTTCCCTCTATCCCTATCAATTCTCAGCTTTTAGAGCCCAACACTTCTTTTGACCTCTCAACTGGCTGGCTCAGGTCACCAGCTCAGAAACAACCACCCAGAAAACCAACAAATAAGCTTGTAATTTAGGGAACTGAACAGGCCCTAAGAGTCAGACCAGAACCCAAGTTCTAGTCAGAGTAGAGAAAAACAGCCAGGGAAGAGAGGACACCCCTCTTTCAACAGGGGCTTAGCAGATTAGCTCACCCCACTATGCAGCACTGCACCATGGTTCCAAAAGCGTAAAATGAGCACAGCATTTACCCTTTACATTTACCCATTTACAGCATTCCCCATACACTATACAGGTTTGAGATTTTTCTTCAAGGTTTTCATGTGCTTGAAGCATCCCAAGTACAGTCAGTATTAAAAGCAGGGTGCAACTACTGAGGCACTAAAAATTGATAATCCAATCTTAAACTCCCTACCTGCAGCATGTAGTACCAAAACGATCAAGTTTTATACAAGCATGAAAGAACTCAGCAGCTACGTTCCCACAAGTTAAGACAACCAACAGGCAGAAGAGGGAAAAAAATACCAAGGAATATCCATCCTGCACAGTGCTTTAGACTATGTTTTGCAGAGAAAGCAGCAGATTATCCTAATATTCACTGTATACAGCTGGCACAGAAGAGATATTGCCAACATCTGATTGCATGACTCTGCAATATACTCCTACCTTTATGCACTCTGAGAAACAGATGGGCTACTGCTAAATTATCCAAGCAACAGTGGCATTTTCTGAATAATCAATCCTATGGACTATCCCAAGTCTTTCTTGCAACATGAATGTGATTTCCAAGTCATCACTATTACCTCTTCAAGCTGTGAACATATACTTTCCTAAGTAAACCAGGGTTTTTCTGGTACCTGTAGCAGAAGATTTAGTTTAAAGCAATACACAGGCAAATCTAAAGACTTGAGTGTATTTCTCAGCCTGATTGAGATCTGCTACCAACTAATCTGCTAATACACTCAAGTGTACTCAAATGTAATGGACACCTACTCAGCTTCTGGACTCCTTGCAGAGAATCAAACCATCTAATTATAGATGTTTGTCTCCTTTGGTTGCTCTTGGTACCTCAGGAGATTCAAGAAGCCAGTTCTAGAAGGCCCTCTCACACAGCTCCTCACGAGAAGTCCATTTTTATGGCCCAGTATGTGAACAATTATCACTTAAAAAAACAATTCCTCCTAACTCCAATCTAATTGTCTTGCCCATATTTTATCTACCTCTTAGCTTCCTACATTTCTTAGGAATACACTGAGATTTTTCTGCCTTCTAGCACTTTCACATCTACCCAATTCTGAGACAAAGAGAGCAGTCATACCCCACGTCACTAGAACAGTAAGACCTTTGACAGACAGGTATAAGTACTAACCATTAACGTGGGGGGAAGGGGAAAAAAAAAGCCAGGCACAAAACCCAACCTTGATGTTTGACATTAAGTCAAACAACACGAAGTGTGCTTGGTATTTGCTTGAAAGAGACAAGTCCTCTGCAAACAGATATTAATAGGTTCAAATCTCAAATGGAGACCACTGCTGCACACAGTACTGCCTTCATAATAGACACATTTCCCTGATAGATGATTTATAAAGACATTAAGAGTCTGCTATTAACTTGATGTATTGGGAATCAGGAGACCTGTCCAATAGTTTGGGCTTTTTTTCCCTTCTTACCTGTGCCTTGACCCATTATCTGCTTTTGGGGACAAACAACCTACCCACACTCCTTTCACCTCACCTGAATTATACTCTATGTAAATCTTAAGTCATATACTTCATGACATAGTACAAAACTGCTGTTCAGAGTCTAAGTTCTCGTTTACAGTCATAGCTTGCTTCTCTCCTGATTAAAAGATATTACTTAGCTTCCACAATGAAGAAATGGTTTCAACATTCAGCAGCAGTCTACAAGAACCAAGATACACTTTTTTTTTTAATATAAATGACTCAAATGTAAGATAATGTCAAAAAACAACATAATGTTACCTAGTCCAATTGTTTCTGGGGAAGAAAAAATAGGTTATAGTTAATGTATTATTCTATTAATAATAGTCTTTGAAAGAACAGCACTAAGTGAGATTTCTCACAAAGCTTCCTGTATTCTAAGTAAGCTTCCTGGCATTTTGTGATTTGTCATGACATGCTAAAGCAGATCTGTGAAGATAGTCAGTTACCCAAATCTCTTAATATCTCTAGAGATCAGGGCTTAAGTGCTACCTACACCACAAAAGTACCTAGAAAGTTGTCCCCTTAATCTGGGCCAGTATACTGAGGACAGCACGGATATAGGATTAACTCCCAACAGGTCCCCAAATACAGCTTCCAAGACTTCACGAATTCTCTAAATGGGTCAGGTAAGTAACACCAAAGAAGCTACAGTCAGATGCCCACCATAAGTGCTGCTATAAATACCACAAACCATACAAAAAAAGCAACCCACCACACACCACCCTTCTGAAGTCATGGGAAGATGGGACAAAACTTAATGCTATCCTGCTACCGAACACGAAATATGGCCATTCCACACTCAAACCCAAGTTACACATGAGATCTGTATCCCCATAGACCCGTGGACAGTACTTACCATCACACCATTTTATACAGGTCAATTAATAACCCTTACTTCATGGGCATCTATCTCAAAGACCAAACTGAAGAGCAAAATTAAGACTAACTTATTTCACCATACTGCTTTCCAACAATTTTGTTCAGAGAAATACTGAACAGCTATCTTGGCAGAACTCAGTATTTCTCAGAAACAAGAATTATGCCAATAGTTTACTGTTTCACTGAACAAGAATACAGAATTAGATGCTGAAACAGTACCTACAGTACATATTCTTCCAGGCTTTGGATGTAAGAGCCACGGAGATGCATTTAGAACTGGGAGCAGAACTGGAGGGTGCACCTTAAATTTATTTACTCAGCTCGATTCCAACAAACTTTGCAAGTCTAAAAGCCACAGCACTGATTAAGTTTAGTGCTTCTCCTAAACGGTAACAGTCCCGTCACCATTCAGATACAGTACTGCCTAAGAAACGTTTCACATTTTCATCTAGCCACCTTGTTTCACCCATATCCATGATGCTGGTAGAATAGAAAGTCCATTGAGGGAAACGCTGCACCAAGGCAATTCTCTACTAATCAATTTTTATTAGTTGACAGAAGTCTGGTTGGTTTGCACTGCAGATCTCTACAATGGGGTAGAAGCTGATTATTTCCCAAATAACTGATTTACCACTGACTTAACCCAACACCAGGAAGACAGTCCTGCCTCAAAAACTTCCAAAGGTGATGAATCCTCCAGGATGCTGGCCAAGCAACCAGCCTGGGTTTCCACTCAAATCAAAGCCAGCACTTCAGTTGCACTGACTCATCTGTACCAGGTGGAGAACCCTCTTCTCCCTACCCACCAAACCAAGCCCTGGAATGCTACTGGAATTGGGAGAGGGGATCAGAGGGGGGAAGAAATGCATCTTCTCATCTCACATCCTTTAGGGTAGGTAATTAAGACACAGAAAAATACCCAAATCCTCAGTAAGTCCACACTTACTGCGGACTATGGAACCGCACGTATCCCTCCACACAAGTCAATTATGTTGTACTCCAATATCTGGATTGGGGGTGGGGGTTATTTTTTCTCTTACTTCTTACACTTACTGTGAAGAAGTGACTCCTTCCATGTTGTGCAATTCTCAGTTCTACCTCGTTTCCCTACTGGAATGGTCACAGAAGGGAGTCCTGTTTAGGCTCTCCTTTTTTTTGTTACAGTTTCTGCTTTTCTCCCCAAAACACGCCTTGTTCAGGTGTTCTGCAATAGTGTTACTGGGAGCTTTTCAAGCACAACTCTCTAAAAAATATGTCATTTGGCCAGAACTTGGTCAATTTTGTCTATGCTATGAAAATTACTAACAGCAAATATTTGGAGTGTCTTCCTACTTCTAAATGAAATGTAACCTATAAAGGGATTTATTTACTTTAAATGAGTAAGCATAAGGCCTTAAGGCAAAAGTAACACTCCCCGGAGAGTAACACCATTGAGAAAATTAAAGGCCCTTTCTATTATATGCAAGGGAAACATGGATAACGAAATAGACGTTTTGGGAGCTAGAGACATCATTCAGGGGTACCAGTTCCTCCACTCTGCCACTTTTCAGCCAGATACGATCAGGAACTGCGCCCAAAGTTACAGGGGGAAAAGGATGAAAAGACAAAGGTAGGAAAATAAAGCGATCTGTAATAATGCCTACCACCTAATGAAAGCACACACATTTCCTTCAGGCAATGAAGTATCATGGACTCGATCCCTCCACGGTGAGAGCTCGCTCTCTCTGGGTTTGCCAGGAGCGGCACTATGTCCGACCGACGGCGAAGAGAAAGAAAAGCGCTACCCCCCTCCCTCGGGCACCCCATAGGGCGAGCGAGCCTCCCCCCAGCATCCCCTCCCGAGGGAGCCGGGCACCCACCTTCCGGAGAGCACGGCGCTGGGCGTTGTCTGCGGCGAGCCGACCTGAGCCCCACGCCGCCGCGCTCCGCGAGGCCCGGACCGGCCCCACCACAGCCGCCTCAGGCCGCGGCGGTCAGCGGCACGATGAGGGGCAACGAGGTCTCTTTGTCGGCCCCCCCCCCGAGGCGGGGGCGGCTCCCCTTCCCCCCCGGGGCTCGCCCTTCGCGGCCGCCATTTTATTCCCGGCTTCTGCCGCCACCGCCCCCCCGAAGCGGGCCCCGCCCAGGCCCAAGACACCCACTCCTTCAGGGCCCCCATCCCCAGCTCCACCACCCTCTTGGGGCGCTTCTCGTCGCCATTTTGTCTGAGCCCCCCTCCTCCTCCGCCCATACCCCCCCCCCCCCCCCGCCCAGCCGCCATTTTGTGGCCGCTCCCTCCCTCTCCCCTTGGCCTTGCACGGCCTCGGCCAGCGCTCACCATCGTAGCGCTCGGCCTGCTCAGCCAACTTGGCCTGATAGACGAGGTCCTCCCGATCGTCCATGTCCTGCAGGAGGGGCGGCGCCGGGGATGCACGGGGCGGATGGAAGCCGATGGGTCCGGGGGGCTCAGCAGCTACTAGCTCGCTGCTCTCTGGGCAAATATGGCGGCAGCCCCTCCTCCCGCTGCATCCGGGCACTTGCGCAAGTGCGCGCATGCGTCCTGCGGCCTCCCATGGCAACGGCGGCTCCTTAGCAACGGGCGGGAGGCGGCGGCCGGGGATGGCGGGGACGGAGCCGGAGCCGCCGCTTCCCCGCCCGGCTGTGGCGGGGCCGGAGCCGAGAGGGCGCCGTTGTGCCAGAGGAGGCGGAGGGGCGAGGTGCGGGGCTGCCGATGGCGGGTGGGGCTGGGCCGAGCTGCTCGCAGGGTGCCCGCGGGCCTTGCCTCGCCTGAGGGTGGGCCGCCAGCGCTGGGCTGAGGGGTGCTCATGGAGGGCGGCGTTTCCCTCAGCGCTCCCGTTCCTCTGAGAGAAAGCGTTTCTGCTGCCCTCAGACGCTGTCTGAATACCTCTGTGTGTGTCTCCGTACAAACCACCGGGTATGCTCCGCACACAATGGGGAATCTAAGCAGTGAAAGGCAGAAGGGCTGATTTGGCAGCTTGCTGCGGTTTCTCCAGGCTGTTTACTCAAGCAAAGTATCACCTCCAGTGCTGTGTCTGACGTGGGACATGGTAATTTCACAGTTTTAAGAGGCTGGGAGAACTGGAAGTTAAAATTGCATTTTTCGCTAGTTCACAGAGTACTTATGAAGAGAAAAAAACTGAGAAAGCTCTGAAATAATTGAGATAACGCCTCAATTTCTGACATCAGAATGGTCTGAGGAAACTCAAAAGAGAATAAAGCATAAATTTCATCTTCAAAGATTTGCTGAGGGTCGCTGGGAATGAAGTCTTGTATCTGTCTTTCCGCAGTGTCTCCGGATGGGCAGGATAAAGACTCGGCCTTCCCGAGGTGTGGAAGCGCACAAAGATCTTGGCAGCCTTTGATAACGCGGCGCAGCGCTGGCACCTCTTGGACATGGCATCGGGTACCCTTTCATTTACTCCATTGTATTGTGCCCACTGAAGCAGGTTCCTGATGGGTTACTGAGGGCACAGACCTAAAACACCGTTTAAAGCATGTATTTTACAGGCTATTGTTTCCTCATTCATTTTAACACAGTATTTCAGCTGGTGAACAAGAGCTTTAGGGTGTGTAAAATGAACAGAACCTTATGGGTTTCATACAAATAAGTCTAAAACTATAATGGGATTCTTTTTCTATCACTGTTTGCCAACCCACAAAATCGATGGTCTCTTTCCAGGGGATATTTTGGCCCTCTTTTCCTAATCTCAAATCACAACTCCATCAAAGAAAAAACAAAGATATTGGTGTGTCTGGACTAAGGTCAAAAGCAGATGTCAAGAAAAAAAAGCTATTTTCAATGTAGTCAAAATATGATCAAAAAATGATGATTTTGTTAAAATTGGGACTCATTATACATATTTACCTCAGAATTCTTCATTAAATACATGGTACTACTACAAAAGCAGTTCAGGTAGGCACCCAAAAGACCCCAGCGGTATACAGTCACCATGTATTTGCATCAATATGCTAAAAATCGTTCTCAAATAGAAAATCACCTCTGCGCTTCATAATCTTGACCACAAAAAGTCTATTTTTCAGCAACTGAGGCTGTTTGATGTGGGAACTGTGCCTAATATAAATCAGATTTGCATCAATTTAGGTGCACTTTTCCGTGATCCTCATGTTCAGCAGTTACTCAAGTTGTAGAAACCTCAACAATACGTATAAACGAGGCCACTTTAAGCGTGCTTATTTGGCAAAAGTTGATACACTTGCTAAATGATAACCTATTGTCTAAATACCTTAAATATATTTGGATGCACTTGTTACAGATGGCATGCAAGTATTTGGAAGTTGGTCAGGGATTTGGCAATCACAAGGAATAAACAGTCTAGTGCAGGGGAATGCAGCATCATTTGCTGATGCAATCTGCTTGTCCCTTGCACCCTCAACTTTTACCACTGCTGCATTGAAAACAGTTGTTGGAAAGAGGGGGAAAGGAGGGGCAATAGGTTTCTGCACGAGCCATGTGTTGCAGCAACAGACACTTATACCAGGCCAAGGTTAAGCAGCAGAGGGGAGTGTGGAAGGGTCTATGGAACCTCTTCCTACTGAATTATCTCTGGGAATCTCATTAAAAGGCCCTCTTGGGTTGCAGCTCTGCTGCAGCCAAGTTGTATGAACACTGGAGCAAAGCTGGAGGCAGCACTTTTACCCATGAAAATTTAACAGGAACCCACTGGCGTGGAGCTGGAGCTGTGCTTTGGCATACACCCCAAATTAAACTGGCTTTATATACAGTATTGCCACCAAGATTCTTATCCTTGTGGCCGAGAGGCCGCTGTCCCCTTGCAGTTTTTAAGGATTACAATAGCAAAAGTAGGTCTAATGCAGGTTCACGTTACAAATGTTCTCCCACATGGGATATAGACATTTTGGTCCTCAGTTTTGGTGCTTCCTCCTTTGACAGCAGACTGCACATTGGAGCTTTTCATTGAAGTAGTGCTATCCCACCCTCACAGAGAAGTCATCCTGACCCATTATTACACATCTGTACGAGATTCTTTCTGGTATCAATTTGTATACCTTAATGTATGTTTTTACTGACAATTCTAGGAATGATTAAACAGCTTTTTATTTTTCCAAACTGTCACCCAGTATCCAAAGAATCCCCAAACTCTTTCCCGATACACCTGTGGAGGTAGAAGTGACACTAACAGCTACAAAGTCCCATCTTACTGTTCTTCATGAGCCCTCTTTTGCAGTGAGATACACTTTTTCCCCCACCCCCTTGACTCAAGCAACAGAAAGTCACCCTGGTTTTATTGGTGATTTTACCTGACTGTAAAACCTCTATTTTTCTGCTTTCTTACTGAGTTATGAGTTACTTTAGTTACCTTGGTTTGACTTACATCTATGTTGTTTTCGTATGAGTATGGCCAATTCAAAATGCCACACTCACTGCTCTATTTTCAATACAAGTGTCCCAATGAGAGCTGATCGAGAATGACACCAAGTCAAAGTTTTGGCTATACTTTTATTTACTTCACGTACTATGAACATATACATTACATGCTACAAAAAAAATAAAAAAAGACTTTAACTGTCAAGAAAGTGGATAGTGTTATAATACAATGGCACATGTTCATATTTGTCTTCAAACTGGTTTGGTTAGAATCCTTCTCCAAAACCATTAACACAAAAAAAATGAAGTGTTTTAAGATGATTAGAAATATTTGCATTATTAACAAATACAATTCAAACAGATTAACAAGATTTAACCAGGGCAAATATTAGTAAAAAGGCTGGGGTTTACCAAAATGAAAGAGAGATTAAAAAACCATAGCAGCCAGTTGTACTTTTTTAGTGTGATATCATGTGTAAATGCACCAGGAGAACACAGTGTAATTGAGCATTCTGCTTTCACGGTGTATTTCTAGAAATGATTATTCTAGTTCTAACACCTGCCTATGCACAAGAGACCAAAACCACAGCCAAGGAGAGACAAAAGATTGTGACCAACATTCTTAGCAATGATTTTTTTTTGCACACATCCGGGAGGAGGGAGGGAACAAACAGAAGAGGATTAAACAAAGGCCACAAAAGGATTTCATCTACATGTTCATGAACATAGGTTCTACCTATTTTCCTTTAAGAGCTTTGAGAAGCTGAAATGTCTATCTCGTCTGAAAGCAAACATACTCATTTCTATCATCTATGAAACAAAATCACATTTCGGCTTAGAACTGAATGGTGAAAAACAGTTGCATTAACGTATCAGTTGCCTAAGAAGCTGCTTGACAAGATCTTCAGATTCTAGTACAACAGCAGCTATTAAGACTCCTCTAGTTGCTTTTATTAAATCTTTCCAAGTGTACAAATATTCGCCATTTATACAGTCTTGACAAAACCACATCTACAAAGATTGCAGGGTATTTGCTACTTGATTCAATTTGCATCTTTCGTATTAAAAAGGCAAGATTTGCATAATAAAACCAGGTGAAAAATGTTCTTTTGGTATCTTAAAATAATTGTGATTGGAAAGGTTCAAACATCTGGACTTTCATGACCTGCAACTGGAAAAAGTACTTCAGAACAAACCGTGTTACTGTAAGAACACACAGTTCATTATGTTTCTTTTGCAACCTAAGCCTAAATGGGCAACTGGTAAACTCGGAATTAAGTTTGTTATATAGAATGCAGCTATTGAAAAAACACATAGTCCTAGTAAATATCCAGGTGAGAGGAAATATACAAATTAGCCTTAACAAAACCAATGTGTTACAGGACCTAAAGTTAGTTTCTCAGTTCTTTTCCTCAAAGTAAATCTTGTCCTAAGCTAGAAGAGATCCCACAATCACTGGCAGATCGCTCTAACCAGAAGAGCACCCCGAGCTGGACTAGTAGTACTGCAATTCTCTGTTACTGTTCTGCCACCACTGTCAGTTTTCTCATCATCTTCAGTAGTGCTTATGAGATTGGTGATGGAAAAGCACGATGAACACTGGTGTTAGGCTACAGATTAATGAGTGCCCATTACCTGAAAATTAGTCAGGCTTGCTGATGGATTAGTTTTGAAGTAAAACAACTAGTACTTAAATAGAACAGAAATATTATGATTTCCAGCATGTTACAGTTCTGAGGTAAAGTGTTACCAGGATTCTGTTGTCCGGGTCGGTGCCTTGCAGCAATAGCCTTTGCCACGCGAACCAGCCCTTGCAGCATTTACACAACCAATGAGCTGTTCTAGCACATGGCTTCTATCAACCCAAAGAACATTTTCAGTTTGCTACTATTCAGAAAAACTGTTGTGTATGAATTACACTGTAGGCAAAGTTACAAAATCTGTTTGCTTAAGTTTGGTCACTAGAGTGCTGTGCTTGGAAAACAATCCAGGGTACAGGCAAGGGGGAGTTACTTCAGTGTTTCATTTCAGTTTACAAAACTTACTGAATCCATTCTGATTTATGTTAGAGAAAACCAGATAATTAGAAGAACAGACTAAAAACCAAAACCAAGCAGTGCATAATACCACCTATTCAATGCACTGATTCTCCTTACGAGCTAGGAAGCCATAGTTACTCTATTCTGCCTTTTGAGAATCAATCCAGAAGCACACAAGTATTTTCCATTAGTTTATTAAAAATAAAATCCTTGTGAATTCACTATCAAATATTTTACAGATGGGAATTAAACCAGAGGAGTCCCCAGAGTAACTTTAAAATAAAAGCTAATATTTGGTTTGTCAGTTCACCATGTTTGACACTGATCTGTACTGTAAGAGTATTGTACAAGAGGAGTTATTGAAGAACTCCAGAAAAATTAAACTGGCCCTATATAATTCAGTATTACTGGAAAGCAGTGTCAATGTTTTAGTATATTTAGTGACTCAAACACTGCTTTAAAGCTATGCATTAAAGTGCTACGCACATATGTTTCAGCACTGATATGGATGTTCACACTTCCATAAGCTTTATATTTGTGGATAAAAAGAGATACTGGTGTGTTAATAGAAAAATTTAATTTAAAATCAGCTGCTACGTTTGAAGCATCAACAGTACTGAAGGAATCAATCTAGTGTCCACAAGCTTCTAGAATTCCAAGGTTGATTTGATCTGTCATTTACCATTAAAATGGTGAGCATCAATAAATCATAAGCCTGTCCTCAACGGGCTCTATGTGGATCTGTACTGCGCACAGGTAACTGACCACGCAAAGTACTCCACAGCCTTTCCAGGACAGAGGATTCAGGATGGAAAAAAAACAACAATATGGAGAAAGCTCCAGGATAAATTTGTGACATTTCTATCTATATATTGAATTGTCTAAGGTTGATGTTCATTGCCTGAGGAAGAAGCAACATAAGCAATAGGACCGGAGAGAGCTATAAATGTTACCTTAACATCTACATTACTGCCTTCTCCAACTGCTGCTGCTGGCAAGGTCCAGTCTGCTGTGCACATGGACAGAAGCAGGCATTACAACCTATAATCATGTACTAGTTCTGCCACTTGACACACGAGTTATCTACTGTCGTACCCTGAATTACATGACCCTTGATTAAGGAATGGTGGTGTTCAGTCCCAGGGGTTTGCGGGTTATCAGAATGCTTAGACAAGCGATACCGCTTTCAACATCTGTCGGAACATAGTCTTGATGGCATCTGCAATAAAAACGAGTTGAGATTGTTCCCATCTGGAATCGCAACTGTTGAGCCACACTCAGCTGAAGTCCTCGTCGGGATTCTGTTGATCCAGCAAGCGGACATGTGTGAATGGAAAGTGGCCACGTCTGCCGTTACACTCTCCTTCCCACTGACCACTCACGTTAATCTTTGTGACCTTTACCAGCTCACCGACCTGCAGGGTAGGAAATAAGGATGTGTTAC